CTCCAAGCTATGAAAGTGCCTTCATGAATTCATTTTACTTAGCGTTCATCTATTCAATCGAATTAACTCGGAATATATCAATGTCAGCAGCAAATATGCTAATATGACCTCTTTTTCAACTAGCAAGTCTCTAGAGAGCTGGGCTCACACAGAAAGACACAAATACTGCGTTGCCAGTGTTCATTTACTCTTACTAATAAGTGATGATAGCTCGACCATCGATTTCACTTATGTCCCTCATATGCCCAAGTGACCGGAGTCAGACAGGATATTTCAGTTAAACAGATGCGCAGCCGTCTACCTCATTCTAAACCCTTACCCATTTGAACCGGTGACAGGACAAAGTCAAGATGACCGAATGGGTTCGGGTGTAGGCCGCTTTCTCCAATGCGGGCCAGAACACCGCCCAACCTAGTCTTAAGTGGCAGTAGTCTTTTGCGCTGGTACTACCACACTATTTATCCTAACTAACCTTCAACAGGTGTCAAGACAGGTTCAAGGAAACCAAGGCTAGTATTGCTTCTGCTATTTCTACCTTAATACTAATAAGTAATGAAGCTCGGTACTCAGGCATGATAGTCCTTCTTGACTTACATAGATTGACCACTCAGGCCTAAGTTTGCCGCCAAGTTAAGAGCCTTCCAGCTTTAAGTACTTTATTCTTTATACATCAGTTATTTCTCTCAAGTAGGTTTTCCTTAGGTTATGTGTCGATAAGAGACCTTTGGGGTAGCTCTTGCCTGCTGGGTTCCTTGCAAACGCAAAAAAAATCACTGGCGGAAGAAATTGCTCCGAATTTTACCTCCCAGGTGCTTACAAATTTCATATTTTTCAAGTCTGCAGGCGATAGCTTTAACGCTAAGCGATTAGACTGGGCATTTTTAAGTACCTGACATGGCATGAAGTGCTTTTGGTTTGTAGAGGAGGAAGGACATATGGTCAGAGTCGAGATGATCAGGAATGCCGTCATTGTCATCATCATCGTCTAGATGATCCGGAATGCCATCTCCATCGCTATCCCTCGGCTGGCAGTCAATAATACCATCTCCATTGGAGTCCTCATCCTCGGAGTCTGCCAAATTAAAATAACATTGATGTTATTTGCAATCAGAAATTAGCCATTTATGTTTTATTGATGGTGCTGTCGGTATCAACAGTCAAAAGTTAACAACCTTAGTTTCACGGAAAATTGAAAATCTATGTACAGGATTTTGAAAATATGCATTGAAAAGTATCATGTTAGCATAATATGTTAGTGATTTAGCCTCCCAAAAGCGCACAGCGATTTTGTTAGTCAGGCTCCCAATCTAGACACTAAGTAAACGTGTAAACACCAATTTCAGCAATTTTCAGTGACCACACGAGACCACCAAATGTTAGTGTCTGGTATGAAAACTCTAAGTGAAGTGAATTTCTTGACGAACATGTAATGCGTACTTTGAAATCCGAGGGTTTGCCAGCGACGAGTTAGGGAAAGTTGTCGGACCCCTTAGTGTCTTCAAGAGACGCTGATACAGGGTTGAACTGCCTAACACGGCTTGTGCCACTTTGCGCCACCGTGCTGTACGCTGATTGACCGCCTCGTGTAAGTTTCTTTTTATTCTTTTACCATTATGGAGTGATTGTTATTCTTTTTATTTATTGTATTTAGAAACGTTAACGCATAAAATTCTAACGGGTTTCATTTCCTGCATTGTCATTTAACTGAATAAGGAAAAATCATATATAAGCGTACATGGAATCCAACCTAAAAACCAATTATAAAACTTCAATTATTTGATTATTTAATGATCACTTGTTTTAATAAGGACGCGTTTTTTGAACTGCTAGGAATAAGAAAACCAAATTTAAATTTTCCGTAGCCTGACTTTCTCCGATTATCTCTTTTTTGACGCACGCCAGAATTTCTCTTTCTTAGGATTTATAATTGGTTTTTAGGTTGCGACTTCGTGCACATTTATGCATGATTTTTCCTTATTCAGCTAAATGATAATACAGCAAAGGAAACCCTATAGAATATTGATCACCGTTTTTAAATACAATAAATAAAAAGAATAGCAATCATTCCATAATGGTACAAGAATAAAAAGAAGCTTATACGAGGCAGCCAATCAGCGCACAGCACGGTGGCGCAAAGCGGCGTAAGCTGTGTAAGGCAGTGCGCCCCGTTGACACAGGCGGTCTGTATCCTGTGGCGGACTACAGGTGGTAGTCGCACGCCGTTACAACCCCCTGACATTTGTCACCCACAGCCTACCTCGAATACCTTTCCTAACCTCGCTCCCCCCGCTGTCTACCTTAACATCCTCAACACGCTGACTCGACCATGCAGACGGCGCGGGAACGAGGAGATGAATAACCCTTCCCGTCCCCCCGAGAACCGCATAAACACTGTAAATAACTGACGACCCCATTCCCCACGTCAATGCGTCAGCCCAATGACCGAAAGCATGTGTTTACCAATCTGACTTTTCGATTGTAACACGGCCATTTTTGTAGAGCCCACTGATGTGCTGAGCTCTCGTGAATTTATTGTGTATCTATTCGGTACAAATTTGTATGTAATGCCAGGTAATCGCAGAAAATCTACGACACTCGTCTCAGAGTAGAGTAAAAGAACTATCGGCATACAATCAATGATGCGAATAGTTTTTCTAGTCCGAGGATGATAGAAGTGGGTAATATTTAGCTTAGTGGTTCACAGGGCTATTAGCAGCGGGGAAGGAAGACTCGTTTTGATGAGCTTACTCCCTGTTTTCAAAGCACTGATGAACCAATTGTGACAACCGCTCACCAATGTTTATATCACACAGCTGAATCAGGAAATATCGTGGGCTTTTCTCGCTGAGAATAGAGTTAAATTTCAAAATAATTCATTTTTTCTCCTTGTTTTCAGTGCCTCCGTACAGTTAAATGCATATGTATAAAAAGCCGTGGCTTTGCGCAATACAGTGGAGCTTCGAGTGAAGAGCAGCTCCATCTACGAGCATTTCGGCTAAAGAGTGAGCCACTAGCAGAACATTTGTTTAGATTGATGAGCTTCCGCTCAGTTGACGAGCTCTCAGTGCGTGCGTGTGCCTGTGACGCCGTTGAGGTTTGCTCCCGGGGCGCGAGTCCCCGGTCGCCTTCAGCCAATCAGAAAACTGATGCATTTTGATTGGCTAAGTTTCGCAAAACGAGTGTTTCTCATGACCAGCTCAGTGCCGAAGTGGACTAAACCCGCTGGTTTCCACGCAAGCGATCAATTGTTCTGGACTACAGGGTGTCCCAAAAAAATGTATACGCAATTTAAATAATTGTAAACTTGGTATTTATTGTAATTTTATTATTTAAAAAGTGTAAAACTCTTAACAAGTATTATTTTATTGTTTTCTCTCTGCATGTTCTCAAACTGATGTCCATTTAATCCAGATACTGCTTACAATGCGAAGCAATGGAATCGCATACACCACAAAACCAGTCCATTTGTATTTGAACGCATTCATGTTCAGTGGCTTCTCTCTCTCAATTATTTAAAATATAGTAAAAATTCAGTGGAAAAACAATAAAATGATACTTCTTAATACTTTTGCATTTTTGATATAATAAAATTATAATAAACCTTAAAGTTACAATTGTTCAAAATGTGTATACGTTTTTTTGGGACACCCTGTATATACCATCCTGCCAGCATGAATTACAAATTAACTAGTGCGACTCACTTCTGCTTGAATGAAATTGACTCCACTTACCTGGAATACCGTCGTTGTCATCGTCCTCATCCCATTCATTCAGAATGCCGTCATTGTCGCTGTCCTAAAACCAACGAAGAAAAGGCCATCATTACAAAATTTGCAAAGACAATAAAAAATCAACTTTTAAGCAGTTACAGCTGCTCATACGAAGAAGAACTGGGGGCAGTAAAAAGCAACGATATAATAATCAAACGATAATTCAAATGGTCTATACTTATTTGAATTGATTTCCTTTTAGGAGGATGACACGTATACAGTTTTAAATTTCCTGCAATTATAGACAAACCCAATGCATTCCATTTAACTGTCTTAAATCAACGAATGGTGTAGTTAAAGTCTCATACCTCTTTCCCTGAATAAAGTGATCTAAGCAACCAAATGGTGGCCGGTTGAAATACAATTTTGAAGAATCCTGATGACAGACCTGTTTGTTGTCAAAGTAACCATCATTGTCATCATCCGGATCGATTATATCGGGGATGCCATCGCAGTCATGATCCTGGAGGTGATCGGGGATACCATCATCATTCATATCATCATCAATGGCGTCCGGAAATCCATCACCGTCAGTATCGATGGCAATTGACCGATGACCATCATAGTCGAGGTGGTCCGGAATACCGTCGTTGTCATCATCTTTGTCCAGAATATCGGGAATACCGTCCTGAGTGAAAAGTAATTTGGGAAGGCGCATCAAGTTAGGAGACTGGACTCTACATATTACTGACTCGTAGCCAATAAATCACAGTTACTATAGGAGATCAAATTGTCAAGTATACAGCTGGGGCTAAGTAGGCAAGTAGTTGCTCAAAATTTCCTTCATGTTTTTTATTCACACATGTTAAATGAGGCTATATGATTTCAAAGTAAATGTAGGATATAGTGTGAATAATGAAATTCCTGGTTTGCAACAAGCGTTCAAGACAGATTGAGGAAAACGCGTTTATCTAAACAGAAAAGTCCTCAAAGTTGAATAATGCATGGAATACCATAGAAGCGGGTGAGGTGAAGGTTCAAGCGCAGCAGAGGATAGGATCATATATATATATCCCGCTCGAAACGTCAGCACCAATACAGTGTGATCCATGAAGGCGCCTTTTCTTCTTCATCTTCTTTGGGGGGTTGGGGAGCGGGATAATTTATCTGGACCTCGTATCTTTAGTCATGTTAATATATATATATCTCCCGCTCCCCATCCCCCAAAGAAGATGAACTAAACAAAGTTCATGTGGTGGTCAGAGGATCCCAACGGGTGACCGCCTGCCAGGCCGATTCC